GAGTAAGAACCCTTCTAGGCAGAGCCTAGGTAGGGAACTAAGCTAAGCTAAGCTAAGCTAACCCTCTAAGCAGAGCCTAGGTAGGGAATTACACCCATGCTGTGATATGCGATGCTGCGCTATGCTATGCTACGCTATGCTATGCTGTGCTGTGCTATGCTATGCTAAAGCTCAGCGAAGCTAAGATGAAGGTAAGCTAAACTAATATAAAACTGAGGTAAGATGAAGCTAAGCTAAGGTCAGATGAAATAAGCTAAGCTAAGATGAGATAAGCAACGCGAAGCTAAGGGAACGTCACTGGGGGAACCGCGGGGCGGATGCCAGGGGAACCGCCCGGGGCGGGCCCCATTGCCCGGCCCTCTAAGCTTCCGGATAAGAACCTTTCTAGGCAGAGCCTAAGTAGGAAATAATAGCAACAATAGTAATACTAAATAACAATACTATCACGAATTCCCTCTGGTAAGTGGTCGTTTTTCGATTAGTTGTTTGGCCGATCGGCGCGGGACCTCGCACCCCCCCTCCCCCCCCATATGGAGTAGATCTTGGCTGTTTTTGGCGCCCGTTTCGAGCAGGTGGAGCCTCCCCCATAATGGACGCATTGCTGCAAACAGTCGCACTAAGCAGGGGTCTGGAGCCAGACCCCCCCCCTCCCCTCTCCCTTTTACCCATGTCGAAACGCCGAATAAGAAATAAGGCGAGGCCAGGACTAGAAGGAAAACGCCATAAAAATCAACTTTCGACGGTCCGCGCAGATTTCGTGGATCTACGAGGCGAGGTAGGTCAGGCGAGGCCAGGACGAGCAGGAGGTAATCGAAGGAGAACGACGCCATAGACATAAACTTTTGGCGCTCTGCGCGGATTTCTTGGATCCGCAGTGGGCCTCCCTGGGCGGCGCCTCCGGCGCCGCCCCTGGCGCGCGGAGTGCGCCAGGGTGGGGGTCCAGCGCAGATCTAAGAAATCCGCGCGGAGCGCCAAAAGTTTAGGTTTATGTAATTGTGTCTTCTTCTATGTATGGAAGGCGAAGCCAGGACGAGGAGGAGGAGGAGGAGGAGGAGGAGGAGGAGGGGGAGGGAGGGAGGAGGACGAGGAGGAGGAGGAGAGAGAGAGGAGGAGGAGGAGGAGGAGGAGGAGGAGAAGGAGGAGGAGGGAGGAGGAGGACGGATGCGAAGAAGGAGGAGAAGGAGGAGGAGGACGAGGAGGAGGAGGAGGAGGAATAGGAGGGGGGGGAATGAGAAGGAGAAGGCCTTCTCAGAAGGCGACGGGGCTTCTCAGAAGCCCTCGTGCCTTCTGAGAAATGTTCTGCGTCTTCGGGGAAGGCTCAGAAAACTTCTCAGAAGGCCAGGGAGCCTCCGAGCCTTCCAGGGTGGTGCAGTCAGCCCGCATAGTAAGCATGAGCGACTGCCCAAGTTTGCCCTTGCATCCTTCCCCGTCGGCCCCTCCCTGGCCGCTTTCGCTGGTCGCGCCCCGCTCGCAAAGTGTCGGCTACTTTCCAAGGTCCTTGCATCTTCATTCGTGCGTCCTCACTATGCGGGTTGACTGCAGGTAAGACGCAGCCAGGACGATGATGAATTCAGGTGAGGACAAGTCGAGAATCTCTGAGATCCGGCGGCTCTTGCGGATGTATCGGGCGCCGCGGCCGCACCGTATCGACGATGCATCGACGATGCGGCTCGATGTGGAGCCCGATGTTCTCCACGCCGACGGCGCCGATGCCTCGGCGATGCATCGCCGGTGCATTGTCGATGCGGCGCGATCCTCCGACCCCATCTACTCGGACCCCATCCAGGAGGCCTCGGAGGAGGGGGGAGGGCTTGTTAGAATCACCCCTGCTGCTTGGAAGGCGCGGACCTTGTCTGTAGGTGTAGGGCCAGAGCCTTCTAAGACGCCGCCTCCTTCTCGGAAGCCTCCCCCCCCCCTACCCCCCCGTGCGCGCAGCCAACCATCCTCGGGGACGACTTCACGCCAACCGCCTCGAAGGCCGCCGCGCCAGCGCCTCCGGCCTACGACCGGCGCCAGCAGAAGGTGCTGATCATCTCGAGGGGCCAAGCACGGCACAGGCATGAACTGTCGGAGTTCGGCGCGGATTTCTCGGATCGGCGCTGGGCCCCCCTACATGGCGCGAGGAGCGCGGCAGGGGCGGCCCCAGCGCGGATCCAGGAAGCCCGCGCGGAGCTCCTGGAAGTTTATGTTTACGACGTTTTTTGTTCTTCGATCATCGGCGTGGGCTTCGGCCTGAAGGTGAACGAGCGCCAGTTCAACATGATCCGGGACGCCGGCTTCCAGACCAGGGTCTTGCACGACGTCCCAAACCCCGAGCTGCCGAATTTCAACATGACACCCCACATCTACAAGCTGAGGGACCACATCAGGGAGTACCAGCCCGACCTCCTGGCGGTGGCCTCCAAGGGGGGCGCGTACCTGGCCGTGCTGTGGCACCTCCGCTACTGGACCGGGCCCACGCTCGTGCTGAACAGGCACCCCACGCTGACAGCGTTCCCTCGGGACGCGAACGTGGTGCTGGCACACGGTTCGAACGACGAGGTGTACCCGCAGCCGCGGGAACGCCTCGAGGCATCGAAGGAGAAGCACGTGCATAAGCACAAATCTTCGGAGCTCCGCGCGGGTATCTTGGATCTGGGCTGGAACCCCCTGGCAGCGCCGCCAGCGTCATCCCTGGCGCGCTCCGCGCGCCAAGGAGGAGGGTCCAGCACATATCCAAGAGACCCGCGCGAAGCTCCGAGAATTATTCCCTGTGCAGTGCCTCGTTTCTCGAAGGCAGTCATCAGGACCGGCGACCCGAACAAGTGCCTGCTGTACTACACCAACAACAGCGGGCTGCTGGGCGGGAAGACGCTCACCCGCGAGGGGGACCACCACAACATGGAGTCCCTGCTGCTGTACGACTGCCTGCCGCGCCTCTGCGACGCCGCCCTGTGCCGGGAGGGGCCCGAGATGCAGTTCCAGCAGTCGTGGATGCAGATGATCACCGACGAGCGCTCCGAGGCTGAGCGCTGGCTTGGCTTCACCATGTCTGACCTGCGCCGGCTCTGGGGCGCGCAGGGCACCGACGAGAGGGTGGCGTTCGAGGTGCCGCGGGGGTGCGAGGAGTGGGAGATGGTGGGCGTGATCTTCAAGGCGGGAGTCGACCAAAGCCTTGTTTTGGCAGTCTCGGGGATCGCTTTCGTGTTCCCTTCCTTTTTTGCGCTTCTTATTGTTCGGCCTACGTATCATTTGGCCACTCACGACTTTGGATTTGCACCAAGCTTCTGGTTTGGGCAGTCGGCCAGACCGTCTTCATTTCCAAACGCTTCAAACCGAGGGCGACACGAAAACGCAAGACGCTGTTTTGGTAGACCCCTTCTTCGAGGCCCAGCCGAAGGTGGCGCGGGCATACCACGACATGAACCCTGGAATGTGGCAGAACATCTCGAAGAAGCACACACGGCACAAACGTACACTTTCGGAGTTCCGCGCGGATTCCCTGGATCGGTGCTGGACCCCCTCCCTGGCGCGCAGAGCGCGCCAGGGGCGGGGCAGGAGGCGACGCCAGGTGGCTTCGGCGCCGCTCCAGGAAATCCGCGCGGACCTTCGACAGTTTATGCTTCTGCTGTGTGTCCCTTCCTCGAGCATCGAGATCCTGAGAATAGACCGCGTGGAGAACTCGTTCCAGGACGAGGGCTGCGAGGCGTACGTCAGGACCATGCAGCGCGGCCTCGAGCAGCAGGGCCTCATCTTCCGGCCGGGCCTGCACACGAGGTGGGCCTTCCACGGCTCCAGCGCCGTCGAGGCCATCGTGCGCGATCCGGTGGCCGGCTTCCAGCCGCTGCTGGGCGGGAGCCGCGCCAGCACCGTGTGGGGCCCCGGAACTCCGAGGGTGAAGCGGTGCTCCGATGCCCCTACCCTGCGGGCAGTGTTCGCATCCGTATCTCACCACACACCTCCTCCTTCTCCTCCTCCTCCTCCTCCTCCTCCCTCCTCCTCCTCCTCCTCCTCCTCCTCCTCCTCCTCCTCCTCCTCCTCCTCCTCCTTCTGGTGCCTTGGGGTTCCTATGCGAGTGGCATGACCAAGATGCAGCGTGTCACCACCCACCAAACCACCCCAACCCAACCCGAAGGCTCAAGCTCACAGTCGATTTCTAGTGGGGGGGGTCGGGGAACATCGAAAGAACACGCGTGGAACCCTTACCCCCCCCAACCCGAAAGTCGGGTCTTCGGGTTGGGTTGGGGTGGTCTGGTAGGTAGTCAGTATCCGCTGCGTCTTGGAGAGTCGGGCTCCCTCCCCCAGTACTTCGGGGCGCAGCGGGTGTGGACGAAAGTCTGCCTCTGGAGGCTATAGGTGTTCCCCCAGATCCACTGCGCCTCGGCCTTTTGGCGCCCCTTCCCAGAAATCGGAGGGCACCAACTATACACCAACACCGATCCTGGCCCAGGATCACCCTGGGCCCAGGATCGGTGTATATGCCTTCTTGCGCAAGGCAGGAGGGCGCATACACCGATCCTGGGCCCAGGGCGATCCTGGCCAGGATCGGTGTTGGTGTATAGTTGGTGCCCTCCTAAGAAAGTCCAAACCGCAGTGGGCATTGATTGATCAAAGTGTTGCCCGCCTGCCCTGGCATCATTGTCGCCCTGGCGGGCCTCCCGAGCGGCCTTCGTCGCCCCGGCGGGATTCGCCTTGGAATCAAGGATAGCAAAACAAAAATCCATCGTTTTTTTTTGTTTTTGTTTTGTTTGCAATCCTTCGTTTTTTTTTGCAATCCCAGGTCCGAGAGCACCCAACGAGAGGGCCTGGGAATAGCGGTGTCGGCATTCCCCCCCCCCCCCCCCCCAGGAACGTATTTCGCCCGGGACGCCAAGTACGTCTACGACGGGGGCTTCAGCAGGATCTTGCCCGACGGCAGCAAGCAGATTCTCCTGTGCCTGCTCATGACCGGCATGGTCTGCCTCGGGGACCCGGAGCACAAGGGCCTCTTGCCAATCCGCTCGGGGCACCACAGATACAACAGTTCCGTTGATTACCTGTCGAACCCAGAGATATCCAGCTGCCTGGGGCAAACCACGTCAGTGTGCCAGTCCCGATTTCGCTGCCCGTCCTGGAGAGCCCTCGCTGCCACGGCTGGATTCTCCTTGAAATTCTAATCATAACGCACCCCGGAACAGGCTTGTGGACTAGCGGTATCGGTACCTTCTTGTCTCCCCAGTGACCCGGAGGGTGGCTATGCAGCAGCAGCGCTGCATGGTTGTTGCGTTGCGTGTTGGGGTTGTCCGGTGCCTCGAGGCCCGGCTTGGCGCGATTTCTGCCAATCTCTCCCGAGGAGGCTCGGTTGAGCTGTCTTGGAGCCGTCTGGGCGGGTCTTTGGGCTGTCAATGGTAGATTATCTGGCCCAGCTGGGCAACGAACTGCGTCATGCATCGTCGTGTGCAGTTCTCTTTCCTTCGGGGCCGCCCTGAGGCCTTTCTTGGAGCAGTCTTGGGTCGTTGGCCACATTGAAAGGTTCTCTCGCCGACTTGGGTGGCCTCTGGGGGCCGTCTTGGGTGCGCCTTGAGATTCTCCGAAGCCTCCCCGAGGCCATCCTGAGCCGACCAGCCTCGGAAGCAAAGCACATTGAAACTCGTCAGCTGCTCTCTTGTTTTGCCTTCTTAGGGCCTCGTCAGGTGCCTCTCGGGGTCTTTCGGGGCCTCTTCGGACCGCGTGGTAGCATATCGGAGCCATCTTGCGACAGTTGGGTGTCTGTGGGGGCGTTAGTGTGCTGACATGGTGCCCGTCTGGTCGGCTGGTCAGGCCCTTCTTGGAGCTCTCTTGGGGCGGTCTTGGCCCATCTTTTCTTTTGGCTTATGGGAGGCGGTCCCTGGGGCGTCTGGCAGAAGGGGGGCCCTGGAACACTTGCAGAAACCCTGCCAGATAGTTCAACGGGCATTCTGACACGGTCCAACGTGCCGAGTGCACGGTGGCGGATTCATCACCCAGTACCCGCAGGCTGCGTACCCGGCGTACGTGATCACTTTCAGGAGCTAGATCCCAGTGGTGGAGTGCATGCACATCGCGCACAGTGCACCCGTTCCAACCTCCTCTCCTGTCTCGCGCCTCTGTTTCCCCCCCTTCCCTCGCCACCTCCAGGCTCCTTCTCCCCTCCTCTTCTCCTTCCTCCTCCTCCTCCTCCTTCTCCTCCTCCTCCTCCTTCTCCTCCTCCTTCTCCTCCTCCTCCTCCTCCTCCTCCTCATGATCATGATCACCATCATGATCCTCGGCTTCTCAGGCTTGCCGAGGTGCATGGCTTTCGGCTGGTGCCGGTCTGCTTCCCCTCCCCTCTTCTCCCCGGGCTCCCCATGGTCGTGACAGAGCGGGCTCACCATGGCCGTCCTCGCTGTCGAGGGGCACGTTCGTGCTGAGCGGGCGGTCGCTGTGTCTGTCGAGGCGCAGCCCAGCGATGGCATCAACATCAAGATGGTGGTCTAGGCCCTGTCCAGGCGGTCCTTGGTGTGTGTCATCGGCCCTTCGGCCCACGGCCACCTGCAGCAGCGGCAGACCATCCAGAACCTCGCCAAGCACATGATCACGATCGGTCGGGGGCACATGATCCGCAATGGCATCTACAAGGTTTCGCGCTGGCTTCGCCCTCGGCATGGTGGTGCGGGTGTCGCCCAGCCTGGGCCTGCTCAGGGTGGTGACGGTGGCGATGATGACCACAGCGGCGGTCCTGGACGACGGCGGCGCCGACCTGGCGAGCCTGCCGCCCGTGGCTCGTGGTGGGAGGAGTGCTATTCCTGGATAGCTCCTTGGGGAGCTCAGAGGGCTGTAGACAAGAAGCCGGCAGGCAGGGCTACGCCAGCTCCTCTCCAAGGCTCCCGGGCAGGCATCCCCGGAGCGCCTTGCTCGAACTCGCAGCGTGTTTCGGCCAGCGTTTTTTCTACTCGTTCCCAACACGCGGGCCCAGCAACTCTCCAGAAGGTGCGTCGGTGCTCCTACAAAGCTCCTTGGAAGCTTGCTTGTAGAAGCTTGCAAGCTCCCCAGGCATGCCCTCGCCAGCACCCCCCATAAGCGTTTTGCGCCTCGGACTGCGTCGCTATCCGGGTTTAAAACTGCGCAAGTGACCCGTGGAGTGTCGCCGTTCTTCCTCGGTAGCGGCGGGACCCTCGTCACAGGGCTCCTCGTCACCATGCTGGTTTTCCTTGAGGCTTTGTTCCTGCCGATTTTTCACCAGCGCATTTGTTTCATTTGTGCCCCTCCACCTCGGGCGCGGAGGTTTTCGCGCCGACGAAGTCTCAGCCTGTTCGGGGGCGTTTCCCTGACGGTGGTGCGCATGGTGAGCTCGGTCGTGGGCACATCCCCGACGATGGTGGGCATCGTCGGCCTCGTTGTGGTGCGCTGTCATGATGTACGTGCGCACTGTGAGCGTAGGTGTGGTCCACTTCCTTGCGGTGATGACCATCGCGGGCCTGTTCGTGTGCATTCTCCCCGCGCTGCTGCGCACAGTGGTCCTGGTCGTGAACATCCTTCTGATGATGGTGAGCGCAGCCCTCTCCCATGCATCCAGGACATGTTTGACCATATGACTAAGATGATCGAGGCTCCTCCTGCATCCCATGTGCAGAACGTTCCTGATAACAGAGAATTTCGTGAGCGTGGTGGGGTGCCTCTCCCTGACGTTGGTGCGCTTAGCCTGGTCGTGAATGTTTTCTTGGCGATGGTTTGCATCGTGGGCGCCGTCGTTTGTGTTTCCGTGAGGTTGCTGCGCTTAGTGCGCATGGTCGCGGGGCGCATCCTGATTGTGGTAATCATCGTGCGACTTCTCGGGTGCATTCTCCTGGCGTTGGTGTGCGCGGTCTTATTCCCGATGATGCTGCGCCCCACCGCGAGCTTGAGATGCCGTGTGCTGCGTTCCTTTTCGGCGAGCCACGTGGCGCTCACTTTCCACGTGATTGTGTCTACGGGTCGCTGAACGCATGGGATTGACTAGTGGTCGGACGTCATGCGGGCCGTGGCCCTTGCAGACCAGTGGATCCAACTTGTGCTTCATGGCACCGTTACCCTTGTTCTGCGGTCGCGGCGACTTCCAGAGCAATCTAGTCGTCAATGACAGCCACCTCGCGGCGGGTTTGCTCCTCTCCTCGGGGGCCCGCGGCGGAGGTCGCCCTCTCTCGATGGTGGTGCCGGTCCGGGGTCGCCCGTTCAAGCCCCCGCTGCCTTCGGCGGCGCTTCGGCCCAGCGCTCAAACGCTGGTGTGCCGCGGGGGCGGCGGTGGCCCGCCCGCGCGCTCGCGGTTCCTGCGCGTGGTTTTGGTGCGAAAAAACCATCACCATCACCGTCATCTGCCGCCGTCGGGCCTCGGCTTGTCGCGCGGCCATGTCCCAAGTTGCAGCGGTCACCTCGCAGGCGCATAACCCTTCCCGCAGTGGCTGGCCCGCCCGCCGATATGTTGGCATATTCTCGCCCCTGCAACGCAGCCCGCCGGCGCTGGGCGGGGCGCGGGCGGGGGGCGTCGCGCTGGAGAGCCCTTGCTCCGGCTTCGTTTCGCGCCCGGGCGCCCGCCGGCCTGCGCGCGCTGCGCTGGATTTCGAGGTGCGCGAGGTGCTGGGGCGGTTCTACTTGAGCAGCGGCTTCCAGGAACAGGGCCGCCCGACAAACAGCAGCGCCGGCCGCGCGACCTTCGCCCCGCAGGTTTTGGGGGGCGGCGATCGGGAGAGCCCTGGCGCCCTGGCGCGACCTTCGAAGGCGCGTTCGGGCAGTGGCGGCAGCGCGCGGCCGCGCCGGGGGACCGCCGCCGCGCGTGGATCCCCCCCCCTGAGGCCGAGACGGGGGGAGAGGTCTCATAGTGTCTGCAGACTTGCCGAGAACTCAAGAACGGGGCTCGGGCGTTGGACACCTCGCGGGCGCGTCCGTCGCGTGCCGAACTTTGTATTTTTAGCAGCGTGAATATCTGGGTTCGCATTGCCGGAAGTTCTGGCTCCTGGAGAACAGTTTCCACGCCTTCGCATGGATTTGCGACTCGCAGAGACGAGCGCGCCTTGAGAAATGCTGGAGGGGGGTGAAATTGGCAGGGTCGGCTCGCGTCGCGCGGAGCGGCCTGCCGTCCACGGCGGCGCCGGCGCCCGGCCTATGGCCGCCGCCATCTCGCTGCCCCCCCTCGGCTCAGACGAATCAGATCGGCCGGCGTTTTGAGCGCGCCAGGCCGACGAGCGCGCGCCGCCAGCGCCCGAACGCCGCGGGGGCGCCTCTACGCGTCGCGCGGGGGGGGGCGGGCGCGGGCAGAGCCTGCGCTTTGTCGGCGGGCCCGGGCGGCCCAGGGGCTAGATGGGCCATGCGCTATTGCGCGTTCCAGCGCAGCGGGGCCAAGGCAAGCCAATGACAGGCGTTCGCCAGCGCGCGCTGCAGAGGTTGGCGGCCGCCGGGCAAGCATGTCTCAGCGGTGGCGCCCCTGGCCGCCTTGGCGAGCTGGCGAACGCGGCCTTGCAGGAACGCGACAAGTCAAGCACTTCGAGAAAGGCGCGGCCCATGCCGACGCGCGACAGAAGCGCCGATGGGCGGGTTCGGCCCCCGCGACGTCGACGCGACTTCCGCCTTCGCCCTGGCCGCAGGCGCGCCGGATGAGGATCGGGCGGCGCGCGTCGCGGCCCAGCTCGAAGAAGGAGCGGGCAGTTGCGTTGCCGCCCGACGACGCCAACGCGGGCCCGACAGGATACATTCGCGGAGGATAGATCGGGATCGTGGAAAGCCTCATATGTTGCTTCAGCGCGTCGCCTCTCGGCGGCCCTGGCATGCGTCTCTGCTGGGGCCATCGTGAAACTGGTTCTGATGTCGATGGCGAGCTGCCGGCTGCGCGAGAACGGTTGCAGGCGCGCGGTCTCGCGGGTTCAGTGGGCGGCGCGCAGGCGCACGATTGCGATTCGGATCGTCTGCGGCGCCCGCGTGCGTCGCGGCGTCCGCAGAATGGGCCGTTTCCTATATGTCGTTTTCCCGGCATGTCGCAGGCCGCAATCTCGCGGGCCCCCGTCGGGCATCTGCGACGCGCGCCAAATGGCGCGCCGCGCCGGGCATGCCCGGCGGGGGCCCTGGCATTGGCAGCGGACGCGGCGCGCAAGCCTCAGTCGGATCGTCGCGGTCTCGGAGCAGATGGGCCCTCGCGACGATCCTAGGCGGC